AAAAAAAAAAAAAAAAGTCCTTTCTCCTTAGGGCTAGATTAAATAGACCCGCAGCTCCATAGGGTATTGGAAATCTGTCTTTTATATTTGCATCTCCCTTAAGATCTAGTACAGTATTTAGTACACAGTAGGTACTCAATTCATGTTTAATGAATGAACAAGTTACCTAAATGAGAATAAGAGGGCTGAGCAAAATCCAGCTTCTACTCTTTCTCTGACATTCATTCATTTGTTCATTCAACAGACATTTATGGTGCCAGGCACCGTGCTGACTATTCCTACAGAATACAATGACCCACATTCTGGGCAGACAATGGCTGGGGACAAAGACAGGATCCGGTCTTCCACTTTGTTTCTCAGGCCCTTCCTGAGGATGCCCGGCATCTACATCTGGAGGGGACAAAGAGGCCTCTATAAAAAGTACCAGATCCATTCCCCAGGCAATAATGGATAGGCTGTAATATCTAAGATCTTAAGTTTTAAAAATAATCTGCTCAAGGATGGCCATCCATTAGCTTGTCTAGACTCTTCCTGAAGCTATTTTTTTCCTGAAGCTTCTCTTACTTTTTGATGAAATGAGTTCCATGCATTTATTGCCTTTAGAACAAAATGGAACCTGCTTTTATTTGTCCTGAAATTTTCACTGTTAAGTTCCCTTGGTGAATCCAAGTTGGAGCCTTTTTGGACACGTCTGTATTACTCCAGCCATAACTTCAAGGATCCCAAGCATTTCTCCTCTTCATTCATCTTTCCAGACCAAGAGCCACAATGTCTGAAGTCTTTCCTAACGTATCTCTTTCCTACTATAATCTTGATCCTGTAGGTTGCCCAATAAATCACAAACCATAAGAACCAAAAGAGATGAAGAACCAAAAAACCAACCCCTCTCCCCAGCTCTCTTCCTCTTTATTTCCTCTAAGCCCCATTTTATAAATGAGGAAACTCAAGTTCTTTAGAAACTAGAGGGTCACATGGGAGCTGTTTACTGGCACACAACAAGCACATCTTTCTTTCTAGCTCTTTCATGTCTCAATTGAGTTGAAAAACCATAACCGCCAAGAATATCCTAGATGCACAGGTCCTCTCTGCAAGAACAGGATGTTTTCTGCCCTGTTTCCAATCCCTTTGATAAGCCTGTGCACGTTGCTGGTGTTCTAGCCAGGAGAGTCTACTGGATTTTAAGATACATTCCCAAGTCCTAGGTCCCTATTCTGCCTCTTATTAAAAATAATTTAGGCCGGGCGCGGTGGCTCACGCCTGTAATCCTAGCTCTCTGGGAGGCTGAGGCTGGTGGATTGCTCAAGGTCAGGAGTTCAAAACCAGCCTGAGCAAGAGCGAGACCCTGTCTCTACTATAAGTAGAAAGAAATTAATTGGCCAACTAATATATAGAGAAAAAATTAACCAGGCATGGTGGCGCATGTCTATAGTCCCAGCTACTTGGGAGGCTGAGGCAGAAGGATTGCTTGAGCCCAGGAGTTTGAGGTTGCTGTGAGCTAGGCTGATGCCATGGCACTCACTCTAGCCTGGGCAACAAAGCGAGACTCTGTCTCAAAAAAAAAAAAAAAAATTTAGATTATTCTTTTTCTCTCCAAGTATATTACCCCATCAATAAAATAAAGCCTGTGTTACACAGAACAAAAATAACAATGACAAGATTTAATGAATTCCAATAAGGGGAGGTGATTTTTGTGATACCAACACATTTGCACTTAGCTTGTGTCAGCATTCATGAGAATTTTCATTTCCTCAACTAACAGCATTTGGAAGTGTTCTAGAAGTTTGTCATACAGTGAAGGAAAGTCCCATTTGTGATACCCAAAGCTGACACACAAAGAGGAAAAAGTGGGCCAGAAACAGAACTCAGGGTGATGACTACGCTTCTAAGAAAGTAAGTGGCCTCAGCCCTCCAGTCGTCAACTCCTGCCAATAAAAATGAGAGCTTTTGAGTCTTACCTTTTCTCTCATGGGGCTTTCTGAAGTTTTCCACTGAGGTATTATGAGTTCATGCTGCAGCGGGGGGCTGCCTTCCTCACTTCCTCCTGCCAAAATAAAAAACACATAACCATTGGAATCCCACACCTCTATACCCAGCTAAGCCGTGCATGCATTTTCTTTCTGTGACAACAGCAGCCTACGCTGGGCCATTAGAAGGCATGCTGGATTCCAGGCTCTTGGCACTGACCATGGACCAGGCACCTGTCTAAGTGATGGCGCTATAGTGGTAAACAGGACAAATGAGGTCTCCGTACTCACAAAGTTGACATTCCGCATGCGGGAGACACACAATGAACAAGCATTCTCAAATAGTGCCGAGGACTCTGGACGAAATATAAGCTAGGGTCATGAAATAGACACCTGGCCCAGGGTTGCTTGGTTTTGATAGGATGATCAGCAACGATGGCATTTAATGAACTGAGGGACCAGAAGAAGGAACCATGCTAAGATCTGGGGGAAGAGAGCCCCAGGGAGAGGGATCAGAATGTGCGATGGCCCTGCCTGGGCAGAAGTGGACTTGGCCTGTCCACGGAACAAGCAGAAGGTAGAGGTGGCTAGAGTCGAGTCAACGAGAGAGGAAACTGGTGAGAGATGTGGTCAGCAAGGCAGCCATGGGTCTGATCATGCAGAGGCCATGGAAAGTGTCTGGATTTTATTATAAATAGACTTGGAAGGCACTGGATGTTTCAAACACAGAGCAATATGATCTGTGTTAGGTTTAAAAAAGATCACTCTGCCGGCTTGGTGGAGATGGGGTAGGGGATGGGGGCAGGAGTGCAAGCTAAAGCAGGAAGGCAAGGCTGGAAACCTTCAGGGGCCCTGGTGAGAGACAGTGGTGGCTCAGACTAGAATGATGTCAGTGGAGGGGAATGAAGCAGGGGGATTCTAGGCATATTCGGAAGGTATGGGTATGCCCACGGGTATTGTTCTCCCAGAGAAACGAAGACAATGACATGCACCTGCTCATCTCACAGCTTTACTAGAGATGGACGAGGTGAAATTGCCTCCTACTCTGCAGAGCATCATTACAGTAACTTGAGCTTCCTAATGGCAAGTCTGCATTTGTATTTCACTTCCTACTCTCCAGATCCCTCTCACCACCCAGTTCTCCTTCATCCTCACGACAACCCCGGGAGGTAAGGCAGCAGAAGAGCTCTTTTGCAAGAAAGAGAATTGAAACCACTGGAGACTTGTTCGAGGCAGTGCAGAACTCAAAACCCTGGTTATAAACCACATTAATGAAATGGTAATGTCCCAAGACCTAAGTAAATCAGTCTCCCCCGAAACAGAACAAATCCATAGGGCTCCTGGGTACAGGAGTGAGGACTCCAAAATCTCTTCTTTCTAAACTAACCACATCAATCACGTAGTATATAAAGTGGTAAAAAGATGGCTATAGTTGCTCTGTTAAGAGTGGTGAGATTATGAGTGATTATTAACTTTTACTTTCAGATTACTCACATAACTAACGCACTTTCAGTTAAAATATATCCTGAAAAATAATCTCATAGGACTAACACCACTTTCATCGGACTAGCAAAAATCAGAAACAATGCATTCATTTATTTGCCAAATATTTTCTGAGTACTTAACTATGTACCAAGTATTACGATGGGTACTTAATATTCATGAAGACACAAGACAGACATGGTCCCTGCTACGGTGGCTCTGGATTTTAAGATGATTTTAAGACACATTCCTCAGTACTAGGTTCAGTCCAGAATCTTTTAAACAACAACAACAACAAACTATATGATAATTTCATAGACTATGTAAAGGAATTAAATGACATTTATGATTGCAAAAATATACTGAAAGCAGTCTAAAGCCTCAACAATAGAGTAGCACAGTAAATCTTAAAAAAAAAAATTGTTTAAAACTTGGAAATAGGGTAAAGGGCAAGGAGGATGTCTTTTCAATGTCTTATTCAAGCACTGTTTAACAGGCCCCTAGGGGAATGTACCATTGTCTTTTTATTTACTATTGATTAAAGGCCTATAGTCTGTTAAGTTCTGTGTGATCTAGAGATTTGTGTTTCAGAGAGATGCAAATGATTACAGCCTACTAGCAAGATAACCAAGAATTATGTTTGTTTTGCTTTTTTTATTTTATTTTTTTATATTTTTTTAATTGGGCAGCACTCCAAACCAGAAATGGTTCAGAGAGCTCCCGGTTGTTTTGTTTGTGGGGCATCCCCAACTTCTGCATCTGTCCCAGCCACAGGATTTCAACATTCTTTCTCCAATACCTTTATCACCCCTGTTACACCCCCAACGCAGCTTTGAACCAGCTTTAAAACCACCCTGTTCGCTGCCTCATTAATGAATTGAATAAATCTTTGCCACATCTGTATGAGAGTCATGTTTTTAACTTTCTGAAAATTATACTTGTGCAATCTCTTGATATAATTTATAGAGTCATTAAAATCATGTTTTTGGAGAATTTAATGATGTGGGAAAATGTTCATAGTGTGAAGTGAAAAATGCAAGACCCGAAACTGTGCATATGGTATGGTTCCAATTTTATCAATATAGATTCATAGGAACACGCAAAGACTGGAGAGAAGAAATCCCAAAATATCAATAGCAACTGTGGATTTGGAGGCTGTAGATCATTTTCTTTCTTTCACACTTGTCATTATTTCCCAGAGACCGCACAGCGCCTCTACCTCCCTAAGTGGTCTCCCAGGACTAGGAACTCACAGAAGGCGCCTGGGTTCGGAGCAACAACTTGTTTTCCTTGCCTTTCTTTATGCTTTTCTCCTGCACTAGGCACTGACACAGGGCTCATGCTGGGCTGGAACACCCTGTGCCTCAGTTTCCCTTTCAGTACAATAGCTCAAAGGGCGGTTCTGTCTGCCCGCAGGCGTGCGGGACTTATGCACACCTAGCCCCTGGAGCTAGGCTCTGTCCGGGGACAGCCTCCCAGCTCCAGGCGGCTGGGGGGGCCCAGCCCGCCCGGCCCCCCCTCCCCCCACCCCTCCCGCCCCTGCCTGCCCTTTATTTGAAAACGCTGACTGTTGATCCCTCAGGCAGAGGTCTGGAGTCTGCCCAGTCTGTCTGCAGCGTCGCAGCCCGGGCTAAGCTTTCTCGGGTCATAATGACAGAACCCAGGCACAGCCCCCCGGGACCGTTCCTTCCGCGAAATCAGCCGAAAGCCCCCAAGGGATAGGACCGGGCAGGGGTTGGTGTCTGGGAAACTGGTTGTGAGAAACGGACTTCACACAGCCCCTGAGCTGGAAGCATCGAGTACGACCCTTTCACTTCACAGAAGGGGAAACTGAGGCCCGAAGAGGGAGGCGGCCGCTGGGTGGGGTTGGAAAGAGAGCCCCGGTTTCCAGGGCCAGCGCAGTTCTCAATCCATGATGTGGCCATGGGCAAGTCGGTTCCCTTTTGCGGGCCTCGGTTTCCCCAACTGTAAAATGGGTGCGTCGGACTGGATCCTCAACAGAACTGCCAGGTCAGGGTCCGAAGTGCACGGCTGGAGACACCCAGCGAGCTGCCCCCAAAGGGCTACCCCAGTCTCCCGGGGGCATTTATTCCGTACCCCACCGGCGGGCGGCCGGCCCCCAGCCTGGTCCCGGGAAGCTGCTCCCAGGGCCACACGGCAGGACGCTCGGGATGCTCGGGGCTGGCGAGTGCAGCGGGCGGGAGCGACCGAGACAAGAGGCAGGCGGGGCGGAGAGGAGGGACCGTGAGAAAACGGAGCGAGAGAGGCCGGGAGAGCAGCGGGACAAGAAGCCAAAGGCAGAAAACAGAGGAAGGAGAAGGGCAGAGAGGAGGGACCGGCTGATTTCTGCCGGCGCTGGCTCTCCCCGACCTCCGCCGCCTCCCGGGCGCACGACGTGGGAACAAAGCCCGGGCTCCCGGGCTGGGGGGCGGCGGGGGCGCAGGCCCGGTGCCGTCGTGGGGAGCACCCGGTCGCGGTCCTGGCGCTCCAGACCCCCCGGGCGACTCCCAGGTCCCCGCGCCACCCAGCCCACGCGCCTCCATCCCCTCCGCGCGGGGCCACTTACTCGTCGTCCATCCCGGCTGCCGCGCCGCCCGCGGCCGCAGCAGCTGCAGGGCGAGCGCCAGCAGGCAGAGCCGGGCGGCGCCTGCGCCCCCGGGCATGGTGCTCGCGGCGGCCCTCGCGCTGGCGCTCACACGCCTCCTGCCATGCCTGCCCCCGGCCCGGCGGCGGCGGCGTCTGGAAGCCCCGCTCGCCCAGCGCGCCCCGCCCGGCTCCCAGCCCCGGGCCCAGACGCTCCGCCCCCCGCCCCGCGGGGCTCGGCGGGGGAGGGGGAGGGGAGGCGCCCGCGGGGGGCGGGGGTGTGTGCGGGGAGGGACCCGGCCCGGGAGGAGCCGGCGGGACCCCCGGGGAGCCCGGTTGACCTAGGCGAGAGGGCCGGCGGGGAAGGGAGACTCCGAGCCCTGAGGAGGCCGGGTTCACCTTGGACGCGGCCTGGGGAGGGAGGGTTGGGGGCTCAGACTCCTCGGAGCTAAACTGGCCCCCTCCGGTTTACCCTGTCCCGCTCTGTGGCCACGCGCCTTGGGTGACACTCGGAAGCGACTCCCTCCCAGAGGCCGCCGCTCTTGGGGGCAGGCTCCGAAAGAGTTAACCCAACCTCCCGGCACAAAGAACTAAGTGCTATATGGACTTGTTTTCTTAGCGGGACTCAAATCAGGGAGCCATTCCTGCTGACTGGGAGGAGGGGGGTGGCGAAGACGAGGAATCCCAGAGGAGAAGACATCTGAGCTTGGGAGGAGGAGAAAGGGAACACCAGGCAGAGGAAACAGCCCAGACAAGCGCACTGGGGCGCGAAGGCCCGTGGGCTGCATAGGGAGAAATCCGGGATTGGGGATGTTAGGGTTTAGGGTTTGGGAGGGAAATGGAGGGAGATGAGACCCCCAAACGCATAATAACAACTGTCATCTATGGAGGACTTACTGTCTGCCTGAACAAGAAAATCACCACAGCTGAGACTGATATAGGGCTTATTAAGTGCCAGACACTGTCCCCAGCACTTTGCATGCATTAACTCATGTAATTAATCAAGAAGAAGAATTTCCTTTTAGTGGCCTTCTATCTGTGCAAAGGACTCTGCATACATTATCTCTTAATTAGCCCAATAATCCTGTGGAGTAGCTACTAGTACCCTATTTTAGAGATGAGAAAAGCAAACCTCGCCCAAGGTCACAAAGCTAATGTCAGAACCTGGACTCGAACCCCAGATCCTGACGCAGCACACTTTATTTTACAGATGAATGAACTGGTAGACTGGCCTAAGAGCCCTCGGTGTCTCCTGGCAAAGCCTCGTTCTAGAAATCCAGCCTCTGAACTCTCATCAGCTGTCGCGTTCACTGAGCCAAACCCAGGTGTGCGCAATGACACGGATGCCGTGTGTCGGAGAGGGCGAGGGGCGCCTGAGTGTGATGGGGAGGGAGGTCTGTCGAAAACTACTCGTGGGCGCCCACAGGGGAATAGAGGTGTGGTTCTTGTCATCGATGCGGTTAGGGACTCTCCTGCCACCATAAGAAAGCAGCACAGACTACTGTGGCTTAAACAACAGAAATTTATTTTCTCTCAGTTCTGGAGGCTGGAAGTCCAAGATCCAGGTGCCAGCAGGGTCGGTTTCTGGTGCAGTCTCTCTTTCTGGCTGGTAGACGGCCACCTTCTCACCACGTCCTCACGTGGCTTCTTTGTGTGTACACACAAAGAAAGAGCTTTGGTGTTTCTTCCTCTTCTTTTAAAGACACAAGTCCTATCAGAGGTGGGCCCTATCCTTATGACCTCATTTAACCTTTATAATCTCCTTATAGGCTCTGTCCAAATACAGTCACATGGGGGGTTAGGGTTCCAGCATATGAATTGTAAAAGACACAGTTCACTCCATAACATTTTCCCCCTCTGGCCCCCAAAATTCATGTCCTTCTCACATGCAAGGTGCATCCATCCATCCTATCCCTGTAGCCCCCAAAGTCTTAACTCCTGCCAGCATCAATTCCAAGTCTGAAGTCTCATCTCAATATCATCCAAATCAAGTATGGGTTGGAGACTTGGGGTGTGATTCATCCTGAGGCAAAATTCCTCTTCAGCTGTGTCCTGTGAAACCAGACAAGTTGGGTGCTTCCAAAATACATTGGCGGCACAGGCGTAGGATGAACACTTCCATTCCAAAAGGGAGAAATGAAAAGAAAGTGGTGACAGGTCCCAAGAAGTTCAAAACCCGGCAAGACAAATTCCATTAGACCTTAGAGCTCTAGAATGGTCCTCTTTGGCTGGACTGTTCTGCCCCTAGGCCCCCTGGGGCAGCAGTGTCACCCCCACAGCCCTAGGCAGTGGCCCACACCCAGGGCTCTTTGTCACTGTCCCATCCCCAGGCACTGATCCTCCCATGCTTAAAGAGGGGGGGACCCCACCCTGGGAAACAGCCTTTCCCCCTGGGCCTGTGGTGGGAGTGGCAGCCCAGATAATTTATGAATTGCCTTGGGGTCACTCTTCCCTTTTCTTGAAGGATGGGAGTGGCTCTATTGTCCTTGTCTATAGAATTCTAGAATTCTGAAAAAGCCTTCCTTTCATCCTGTGTCTGGTTCCCTTTGGTCCAAACTGGCAGTGTCTTGGCTGGTCAAATCCCACCCCTATTCCAGCTTCTGAGTGTCTCCCTAGAGAGTGCTTGTCCGGCCACGCCCTTCGCATCCTCTCCAGAAGATGCTTTCTCATTGTTTGCAATATGAATAGGCCGACAGCTTTGCAAGTCTTCAAGTTCTGGTTCCTTTTTGCTGAAAAAAATCCTTCAATTGATCTTCCCCCTCTCACATTTTATATAAGCAGTAAGGAGAAACCAGCCTTTAACCATACCTTTAACACTTGGCTTAGACATCTGCACAGCTAAATATCCAAGTTCATTCCTTGCAATTTCTACTCTTCATGAAACACTAGAACACAATTGAGGGTCGGAAAAATGCAAACTCAACGTGCTTTCTCTTATTCTCTCACTCAACAGGACAACAATCAACACAGAAGACTTTGGTGACCAAATGTCTGGGGGTTTTTCCCCACGCACCAAGAAGCAATCAATTCTGCAGCGGACACCAGCTGAGTATCCTCCAATCCAATTCTGATACTGTCCACATGGAGATAGTGTCAGATCCCACAGGGGGAGGATTCAGTCCCCCAAACTCACCCCACCCCTCTTCAGACACCAGTCGCCAGACTGACTGGCTTCAAGTTGGGGTTTCCATGACCCCCTCTTTGGGTTCAATTGATTTGCTAGAGTGGCTCATAGAACCTAGGGAAATGCTTGCAAAAACCCAGCAAGTCCTGTCCAGATTCTTCTTGGCCGCTCTGGGCAGCATTCCTGCAGGGTGTGGGGCAGGACCCACTCTACAATGAGAATTTGATGACCCACAATCGGATTAGAGTCCTGCCTTGAACAGGTGAAAGGGGGGCAGAAGAAGGTCGCATTCTGTTTCCTGCGGCCTGCTTCTGAGACCTAAAGTGCCCCAACATTGTATCAAAAGACTGTAACAAAGGCTATAGGAGGCAGGAACCATTGGATGAAAACCAATGTACATCTATGTCATAATATCACAAGGATTCAGCCAAGTTCTTTGCCACTTTATAACTGGGATCACCTTTTCTCCAGTTTCCAATAACATTTTCCTCATCTCTATCTGAGACCTTTCCAGAATCACCTTTAATATTCATATTTCTGGATTCAGAGTCCAGGGTGCTAACCATTATACCATTGAGCTGCCATTAATATTCATATTTCCACCAACATTAGGTTCACAATGATATATGTATATATATGTATTCTCTGAGTTGTATTAATAGATCTGTACAACTCTCCTCTTCTTCCTGAGTCCTAGCTAGAATCACCTGTAACATCCACATTTCTACCAACAGTCCCTTCAAGGTGTTGGGGCTTGGAGACCTAAACCCCCAAAATGTGGCATGTTGACATGCTGAAGAAACCTCATGTTCTCTCTGACTTCCTCCCACCCATCGCTGTGAAAGAGAACCATTTACAAGTTAATCTCTGTTCCTGGCCCATTCATTCTTCCTAGTAATCCTTTAATACCCTTCAACAGAATTCCTCTTCTTCCCCCTCCTATAACCTGTTTTGCCAGGATCGTCTATAAGCTTCTGACCTCCTTGGAGGGTAGGTAATCACGCTGGGATTCTCCCCAAGTATACATGGTAAATAAATTTGTATGCCTTTTCTCCAGTAAATCTGCCTTTTGTGACTTGATTTATCAGCAAACCTGCAGAGGGTGAAGAAGATATCTCCCTTAGCTCCCCTATAAAAGCAATCTGGACTTTTTCCAGTGTGCACCTCAAATCTCATCCAGCCTCTACTCATTACCCAGTTCCAAACTCACATCTACATTTTTAGGTATTTGTTACGGTAGTACCCCACTTTTCAGTACCAAAATCTGTACTAGGTCTGCTAAGGCTGCCATTAAGAAAAATACCACAGACTGGGGGGGGGGGCTTATCAACAGAAATTTATTTTCTCAAAGTTCTGGAGGCTGAAAGTTCAAGATCAACGCGCCATCAGGCTTGGCTTCTGGTGAAGCCTGTCTTCCTGGCTTGTAGACAGCCACCTTCCCACTGTGTCCTCACATGGCCTCTCCTCTCCACATGGATAGAGAAAGACAGAGAGAAAGAGAGAAAGAGAGCATGCAAGTGCATGCACTCTGGTGTCGCTTCTTCTTCTTATAAAGACACCAGTCCTGTCAGAGTCGGGCGCCCACGCTCACGACCTCCTTATAGGCTCCATTTCCAGATACTGGGGGTCATACTGGGGGTTAGGGTTCCAACATATGGGGCGGGGTGCGGCGTGGAAATCTAGTCTATAATAGGGGCTGTAGCCCTAGAGCCATGACACTAAAATTCTAGTCCCAATTTTCTTTGCAGCCAGCTCTGTGACCTTGGGCAAGTGACTTCTCCTTTCTGGGCCTGAGTTTCTGGTGGATGAATGCCCTGGGAATGGGAATGGCAATGGGAATGGGAATGGGAACGGGAATGGGAATGGGAATGGGAATGGCTGCTCTCAATCCATCTCACCCAGGACCTGCGAGAGCTGTTGAGATGATGGCAGCGAGAGTGCTGTGCCAAGTGAAAAACGCCAAAGTGCCACACCTAACTGATTCTGCAGACAGATCTCCTTGCAAAAGACACACAAACTCCACGCTTGAAATTCACTTCCATTTGCTGGCCCTTGGTTGATCAATATTTAATCGGCATGTAGCCCTGAATATTGGGCTCACAAGAGAACTCACAAGAGAAAAAGTCCAGGGGTTAATGCACAACCAAGGAGCCAGGAAGTTCCCAATGCTGTCTCATCCCAACCCTCCTCCACACTGACACACAGGAACGAGTATACATACAACTTTGACCCCTTGGAAGTCTTCCCATTTATTTGTAAAGAATGCATTTGTTATTACAAATATATGTAAAAAATACTACATCTCTACATAATATTTAAAATATTCCTGACATTTAACCTAGTAATTACATTTCTGGGAAACCATCCTAAAAAAATAATCTGTAGTATACATGCAGATTTATGGACTAGAATGTTCATGATGGTGTTATTTATAATAGTGAAAATATTAAAAACAATCTAAAATATTCAACTGCGAAAGAACAGTTCATAAATTATGTAATATCCATATGATGGATTATTATGCAGCTACTTAAAATGATGAGAGTTTATGCACTGATGTCAAGTGAAAAAATCAGGGTCCAAAATTACACTAAAGTATGATCTCAGCTATGTAAATAAAAGACATTTTTTAAAAGACTAGAAGGAAATGTGCCAAAACATTAGCAGTGGTTACCTTTCCATGGTAAAACCATAGATGAAGATTTTTTTTTTTTTGGTTTGGTTTGGTTTTTTTGGTTTGTCTTTTTTTTCTCTCTCTCTCTTTCATTTTTTACAATAATTAAGTACAGTCAAGCATTGCTTAACAACAGGGATACGTTTTGAGAAATGTGTTGTTAGGCGATTTTGTCATTGTGCGAACATCATAGAGTGTACTTATGCAAACCTAGATAGTATAGTCTACTGTACACCTAGGCTATATGGTGCAGCATACAGCCTATTGCTCCTAGGCTACAAACTTGCACAGCATGTTACTGTCCTGAATACTGTAGGGAATTGTAACACAATGGTAAGGATTTGGGTATCCATAGGAAGGATTAGCTTTATGCTACAATGTTACGAGGGCTATGACATCATTAGGCAATAGGAATTTTTCATCTCCTTTACAGTCTTATGGGATCACCATCACATGTGCAGTCCATCGTTGACCAAAATGTCATTATGCAGCACATGACTATATTACTTTAGTAATGGGGAGTAGGTAAATGGTAAACACAGAAAGGAACACAAAAGGAAAAAGGGCTTTATTCTGGTATCTTAAGCAGAAGTTCTGCAAACTCGAGCTCTGTACATATCGTTGACTTTCTCCTCTGATGTTGGGAAAATGGAGCCAGAGTTACTGCAACTAGTTCCAAAACTGAGCAGTTGAGGTGACCCATCATTATTCCCTAGCTATAGGATACTATTATGGTTAGGAGATGGCCATCCTATCAGAGGTTAAATCACTTTTCTGTCTTTTATTGGCTGTGTGACCTTGGGCAAATAAAAAAAAACTTTTCTGTGACTTTGTTGTCTCATCTATAAAGGATAATGATAGTGACAGTGCATAGCTCATATGGTTTTAGTGAGGCTTAAATGGATGTTTAGAATAGCACCCTCACATCAAAAGCAGTCAATAAATGCCAGCTCATATTACCCTCATTCTTAAGCTAGTAAGTGCTGAGGGGTAGGGTGTCATTCATATGCTTTTAGTTGTATAATGTGTGAAGAGTCTAATTATATGCCATTCTGTATTATCCAAGATAATAATCATGCTATGTCTTTTTACCACCATTGTCTTTTTCTAACCCTCTCTCCCTAGATTGTGAGCCCTTTGTGAATAGGAGCTGGACCTTGTTCTTTTCTAAGCCATCTAGCATTTGAAAGGCACAATACATATTTAATTAAACAAATTATAAATTAAACAATTAATAATAATTATCTCATTCTGGCTCAGCACAAACTTTCAAGCCGCTCATGGAAGAACTGTCTGTTGGCCCCTGTTATGGTAATAATGTTAGATCTGTGATAACTTTCCTCTGTGAACCACTTTCCCAGCAACCAGCTCTTTTTTTGTTGCTAAGTTTTGTTTATTTAGGCATAATTTCATACATTTAACATTCTCCAGTGTTTAGTCTACAATTCTATGAATTTTGACAAACACAGTCAAATAACCACTTCCACAATCAAGAGCACCTCAAAAACTTCCCTCCTATCTCTTTGCATTCAACCCCTCCCCCCTCACCCACTGGAAATCACTCGTCTGTTTTAGGGTCTCTATCGTGTTGCCTTTTCCAAAATGTCATATAAATTGAAATATGCAGGATATAGACTTTTGAGTCAAGCTTCTTTCACTTAGTATAGTGCATTCAAGATTCATCCATGGCATTACATGTATCAATAGTTCCTTCATTTTCATTGTTCAGTAGTATTCCATTGTATGGATGTACCATTGTTAGTTTATCCATTCACCAGTTGAAGGACATTTGGGTGTTTCCAGTTTTTGATAATTATGAATAAAGTTACTATAAATATTCAGGTTTTATGTGAACACGAGTTTTCATTCATCTAGGGTGAATAACTAGGAATAGAATTGCCAAGGATTATGGTTAAGCTTTATATGTAGCTTTATGAGAAACTGCAAAAACTATTTTCCAAAGTGTCTGTACAATGTTGCATTCCCACCCCCAAGGTATAAAAGTTTCAGTTGCTCTGCATCTTTGCCAGAACTTGGTATTGCCATTTCTTTTTATTTTAGCCATTGTAATGGATGAATAGTTTCTCAGAAGCTCTCTTGCTCTTCAAATACTCCATGAGGTTGCCAGGTTAGTATTATTGGATTTATTTGGATGGATCCATTTTGATGGAAGAAATTAAAGCCTAAATAGAAGCTTTTACTTAAGTTTTTGGCTATCTTAAAAATTTTAGTCTTTATTTCTGTTTTTTGTTTGTTTTTGTTTTTAATAATCCCCAGGAGAAGCAAATTTCCCCAAACCCTGGCAAACCCACAAAGCTCTTGAAATCACTCATTCAGCAAATACCTATTGAGCACCTATTGTGTGCCTGGCATCTGCTAAAATCTACAGAGAGTCTAAAACAAGGTCTCCACCATAACAATTACTGTAGGGGGAGCTGAGGTAAAAGAAAGAAGGTGGTCAGTAAATTAAATGACCAAATATAAATAGGGAACAATTTTTTTTCTTTTCTTTTTTTTTACTACCATCGTTATTAATTGGAAAGGGATCAAGTTTATTGATGTGTGACTTGGGTCCTTTGATTTCTCGACATCAGGTACTATCCCTAAGGTTGTGTATAATAATAATAATAATCACTCCCAGGTGTTCAGCACCTTGATTGGTGCCAATCACAGTAGTTTTTTTTTAAACTATAGTCTGGTCCTCCAATGATCTGAGGGACAGTGAACTGGCCCCTTGTTTAAAAAGTTTGAGGACCCTTGGAATAAAGAAATGAGCTACCAAGCCATGAGAGGCTGATATTTTTTAAACTATCATCACAGTTGATGCCCATAACAATCCAATGAGGAGATCTTAGGTCGAATTGTATGGAATTGATTTTATAGGTCAGAAATGGTTAAACATTGGTGATATCATATGATTCAACCTAATGAACTTT